ACTTTATGGCTTATTTGCTTCCATCCTGGATTCTGTGCTGGGCCATCCTCAGCTTCCAGGAATCAGGGCCACGAGAGATGTGGGTGTGGTGCAGAGAGACAGGCATGGGCTTTGGGGTTAGCCAATTCCCATTGACCCCTGCATGACCCTAACTAAGTGATTCAATTTATGAACCACAGTGTCACTTCCTCTGCCACCCAGGCCAGCTTGGAGACTGCTGGTAACCTTTGGGTTTTATGATCTTGGCGTAGTAAGTGAAGATTTCCTTATTTAAGGATTGACAACTTCCTCTTGGGCAGCCTCCTTGCTCATTGCGGGAGACAGCTTTGCTGGAGAGCCAGACCTGGAGTTGAAGGCTGGTTTTCTTATCCATAAAGTTGGGATTACAATGCCCAACAGGGTTGTTGAGGATTGACGAGATAAAGTTTATAGACAAATTGACCATCACTTAACAAATGTTAGTTTCTCATCCATTAAAAAACACCTGCATGTTGAGCCTTCGATCAACTACATCTCCCTCACACCTGCCTCTGTCTTCCATTGTTTTATTCTCACAATAATCCAGATGCCAGGAAGAAAGTTTGGACTCTGCCCTAGGGACAAGAGAGACAAAGACACGGTTCTTCGCTTCATTTTTCAAAACAGTTACATAAAGTGGAAGATGAATTTCATCTTTTAACCAAACCGATGGTGAAACCTTGCTTCCTTTACTTTAGCAGTGGTGGTGACCACATTTGGAGGAATCAGAGAGATTTAGAAAGAGGGTGAGCTAATGTAATCTTCAGAATTTCTTGGGACATAACCTAAAACCCAGAAACCAGAAAGATGTTGACAACATAAAAAGTAAACATTTCTGAATGGCAGAAATACCACTAACAAAATTAAAAAGACAAGTATCACTGGAAAAAAAATAATTGCAAATATATAACCAATGAAACCATTTTCCTTAATATACAAAGAGCTCTTTTAGGTTATTAAGAAAATGATGAATATTTCTTTTTTTTTAAAAAAAGGCAAAAGATGTGAGTAGAAAATGCACAGAAAAAGGAATCCAAAAGGCCATTTAATAATTTAAAATGTCTAACCTCACACAAAAGAAGGAAACCAAGTTTAAAAAAGGTCATGCCACTTAGACCTAGGAGGTTGGCAAAGATTAATTGCTGTATAATGTGGGCCACTGGTGGGAGTGAATCCTACCTGCTGGTTTGTCTGGAAATTGGAGAGAACTTTTAGGAAGGTCATTGGGCGATCTCTTCCAAATTAAAAACACATCCTTAGAACCAGAAATTCAAACTCTTTTCTTGGACTGTCAGTTAACAGCCTTCCCTGTCTTGATAAAATAACTCTATCTAAGGGCACCCAATAAGCATTAATAGTGATCACTTTCTGGGTGTAGAGAGGAAAAGAGATGTTTGGTTTTCATTTTTCCACTTTTCCACCATTTGAGCTTTTTCGTATCAGATGTTTGTATTTTGTTATTTTTAAAAAGGTAAAATTGTTTCCAAGACACAACAGCACACTTAACAACAAAGGAAACCTTACCTCTGACCTGAGGGTCTCGCATAAATCCCACATTTGACATTCAGACATTTCGTTTAACAATGAGCAAATGCAGTATGAGATGTTTTCTTCGTACATTCCCTCAAATACCAACTGCGATCACTCAGAATGATCTCTCTGGGCCTCACGGGGTCCTCTGCCATGTGGCCTTATGCTTTCTTTTTTTAAAAAAAAATAGGTTTTTATTCATTTGAGAAAGAGAAAGGGAGGGAGAGGGAGAGGGAGAGAGAGAAACATCAATGAAGAGAACCTTCAGTTGGCTGCCTCCTGCACGCCCCTTACTGGGGACTGAGCCTGCAATTCAGGCATGTGCCTGTGTGGGAATCAGACCAGCCACCTCTTGGTACATGGGGATGACACTCAACCAGCCAGGGGGCCTTGTACTTTCTTAAGAAACCTGATATCGGCATGTTTTCCTGCCCCAGAGCCTTGCTCCTTCCTGTCTAGTGTGATTGTCCCAGGCCCCTAGATGCAATCCTCCTTCACGCCCCATCACACACTCACTGTCCGTTCTGGGCTTCTGGAATGTCCCAGAAGGGTCACAGTGGAGATAGAACTTGAGCCAGGAGTAGGAATGGGAGTAGGTAGGGATTGGAGGGGTTGAAAAGAACTAGGAGGGGAGCTACATAGTCACACAAAGGAATAATAACGATGAGAGTTATTGACGAGTTATTATGTCCCTATACGTTCACATACAACATGTCCTGTATTTCATGGAAGGTTCACGACCCCCAGGAGAAGTCAGCATTGTGAGCCCCATTCTACAGGGAAGGTGACAGTGCTGAGCTGGAATTCAAAATGAAGTCTGCCCAACCGGCTGTAAGGCCCAGCTCTTAGCCACTGTCCCACGTGGGGCGAGGAGGTGAGCACGAGGACAGGGATCTGTTCACGGCCTCGAGGGGTCACCTGAAGATTTAACTCCAGGAATCGTGGTGCTGGGCCTGCCCCGAGGTTGCAGACTTTGGAAAGAAGAAAGTTCTTGGCTGTGGTAGTGGTGCGTGTGGAGGTGGTGCTGGGGAGGAGGGATGCAGAGGAATGTCTGTTTCAGCGGATTCTGAAAAGAAAGCAAAGATGACATTCTGACCTGGGAACAGAACTATCGGCAGTATTTTATTATTTGTGGTTTCCCTTCAGTCCATTAGAAAATACTATTGCAAAACCGCCATTCTTTAAAATATATATATAATTATTGATTTCAGCGAGGAAGAGAGACAGAGAGAGACATCAATGATGACAGAGAATCATTGATCGACTGCCTCCTGCACGCCCCTTACTTGGGTCGAGGCCACAACCCGGGCTTGTGCCCTTGACTGGAATCGAACCCAGGAACCCTTCAGTCCGAAGGCCAACGCTCTGTCCACTAAGCCAAACCAGCCAGGGCAAAACCGCCATTTTTGATGGAGCTGCATCCCTCCCTCCAGTGAACTGAGCTGGCCTGGCCTGGAATCGGGACCAGCCAGCGGCAGCCTCTGCCGCCTCAGTGCCCTGTGGCTGCTGATTCAGCAGGTGGTATGGGTCCGGCTGCAGAGTGCTGATGCGGGCAGTTCATCTTTGATTTTTTTTTTTTTAATCCCTCATGCAACCACACATAGTATTTCCTACAATCTGGCTGAGGTCCTGCTACTTGGGGAGGCTCAGAATGGAGTGCCTGGAAGTGTCGCCCATGGCCAGGTGGGGTGCAGAGCCCCCCAGGTGGGGCTGATGTTGTCCCAGCTACTTAACAACTAGGTAGTAAAGCAGGAGGGTTTCTAGATGCCAGGGAGGGGACAGAAAGTTTGCACCCCTGTGGGTGGAATGCCCACGTCATGGGAGCAGACTCCAGTGGCTTTTCTTGGACAGGTCACTTCAGTCTCCCCCGCGATGTTGATGTGACTGTTCGGTCTGAGAGGCAACCCTACCACTGGGCCTGGAATGCTCGAGTGTGGGCATCGGGCCGTGTTTGCTGGGAGCCTGGATGGAAAGTGTCTTTTACTTATTTTGTGTGTCTCAAGTTCTTGGCCCTGTGCTGGGTGCCTGAGGCACGTTTTCTAGTTTCCCCCCTCACAACAACCACACAGTGTCTGATGTTGCCATTTTAGAGATGAGGCAGCTGAGGCTCAGGAAGTTGCCATGGCCAAAACGGGGCCAGAGTTCTGCCATAGGAATGTGGGCTCCAGTTCTGGCATTCTCTTGTGTATCAAACCACCAGACCACGGTTGTGTGGAGGGAGTCCCCAGGGAACCTTGCGTGGGTCATGTCCATTCCATGGGCTGTTGGGGACGTGGGGCGTGCCCTCAGGGAGCCGGACACACACGGCTTTTCTCAGGGCCTGAGAGTGAGCTGCGAGGGGGCTGGCACTCTATAAACCTGGGTGGTTCATTTCCCTGGCCCTCCAACCTATTCCATCGTACTTCAGTGGCAGTTTCCCATCGGGGAAGGGGTGGTGTTGGCAAACATGCCAATCAGTGAATGCCTAGGAAGTAACCCTGTGTCCTTCGAGAAGGTGTGCAGCAGGGCAGTGGGAGGTGGGAGGAGCCCTCACGGTGGAGGAGGCTGCTGGGGGTGAGCCCAGCTCCCTCCCCCAGCCCTGGCTCTGGCCTCTGCACCTCTTCAGCACTTCCGTTCTGTGCCATACAGTGGAGCAGGTCCCTGCAGCCAGCTGTATCACCGCCTACAATCCGAATGTTTTCTGTGTGCACTGCTTGTTTCCAGGGGGGGAGGGACTTTGCCTTCCTGGTGACACCCGAGGATCTTGATCCCCTGTGCCGTGGAGATTCCCTCTTCCCGTCCGCCCCAGCTCTGTGGCTGGTCTGAGGGGAACAGCCCCACTGGCCTGACTTGTTTTACATACTCTTGGGTCAGCCTTCTCTCACATGTGAATGAGCCTGGAATTTTTTTGAGGGGCCCCTTAATTGATAGCCATTTGGGCCCCAGCCCACTCCGTCATGTGACTCTCTCATACATTGCTGTCACTGTACGCGAACGTTAAAGTAAATTTGGGCAGGGATCACAATTTGGCAGAAGGCCCAGGGGCCCCCAGGCCTGTAGCAGCGTGCTGGGGACCCTGGGGGGCATGAAGAACAAAACGGAGGCCCGGAATCCTGGCGCAGGGCTGGATGGGCCCCAAGAGCTCGAAGGGGACTTGGCTGGAAAACCCTGGGAAATAGCTCTGTGAGGGGGTGGGTGCCCCATCATTGGATGTGAAACTGTCTCCTGGCTTATGTGAATTCTAAAAGTAATATAAAAGTGCTTAGCATTAAGAAAAAGACTCAGTACATAAATGTGTGTAGAACAAATTAAGACCCGTCCTACACCCCATTACCAGAGATGACCAGTATTTATGATCTCGTGGGTTTTAAGGACTCCGTTTATGGCAGGACTTGTGGGTTTTAAGACTTGGTCTCTGTGAAGCAGTTTGAGCTTGTCTTTTCCGAACTAAGAGTGGCCCTTCCTGTCTGCAGAACATGGAGAGTTCCTGGCTCTGGACCTTGGAGGGACCAACTTTCGCGTGCTTCGGGTGAGAGTGACGGACAACGGGCTCCAGAAGGTGGAGATGGAGAACCAGATCTACGCCATCCCCGAGGACATCATGCGCGGCAGCGGCACGCAGGTCCGAACCTTCTCTCAGCGGCCCCGGGGGCTCTGGGCCCCACAGGAGCAGGCACTGCTCCTCCTGTGTCTGGAGGGCGGAGAGCCAGCTGGAGCTTGGACTCCCTGACCTCTCTCTGCATGGTGATCCCCTCCATGCGTGGAAGCGGAGTGGGGGCCTCCGTCAGGAGAGGTGCACGTGGTCCGGAGCATGCGCATGAGGCCCTGGGGTCTGGCTGTGTTGCAGCAGGAGAGGTTTGAGGTCTGGTCACACATGCTGGTTGTTGAGGAAAGCCTGTTGTCAGGAAGCTGGGCCCACACTTCTGGGCACTGGTTGTTAGTGGTACCTCTGAATGGTGAGCCAGTGGAATACACAACTGTGGTTTGACACTGCCACCCGCCACTGTGGTCACTCTGCAGCCCCTTTTGACTCACAGTTGTCATCATAGCATCATGTGAAAATGGAACCTGCCCCTTTGCTTTTGTGGTTATTGGTCTTCTCTGTCCGTGACCATCCAAAACAAAAGGTTTTGCACGCAGGGATGGGAACCTGTTGAGAAAACATCAAAATCAAGCCTTGGGGCCTCGGCCCCAGCTGGCATCCCTCTGGGCACCATGTGTTTCCGCATTGACCCCCAAATCATGCTTAGTTATCCTCATACCTCGGTGGCTTCTAGAGCCATGTTTTGTACTCAGAATCCCCACGATAAAAGAAGTGGATGGAGAAGAAATGTGAAATCCAAGTAAGGATCTTTTCAGTAATAGAAAAACATGTACAAGGATGGGATTGCCATCAAGGTAGTCTTCAAACATGGACTGAACACCTACTATGCATTGTGCATTGATCCTTGTTGGGAATCAAAGTCCTGCCTTTTCTGCTTCAGGGCTTAAAGCCCAGCTGGACCACCAGGAACTGTCCCCCTCCCAACCCCCATAGGTAGCAGTAATGTTGTGTTGAAGGGGATAAGTCACCATCCAGAGGAGGAGCTGGTACGCGATGACCTATTGTCTGAAAGCACTTTTTGCAGACTATTGTCTGAGCAAAAGCACTTTATGGATATTCTCATTCTATCCTCACGTGAGCCCCATGAGGCTGGGTTCTCCTGTTATCTCCACTTTATACATATGGGATTGGGCTTTGACAAAAAGAGTGACTTGGCCTTAGATCACAGAAATGGGAGGGGCCAGAGGCAAGACACAAAGCCAGATCCATGACTAGAGCCTGTGTTTTCACAGCTCTGCGGGGAGGAAGGGGGCTCTGTCCACTTTGTAGGCCACGTGATGAGGTCTATGAGTGGTGCTCCCTGGGTCCCCTGCTTCCAGTGTAGGAGGTACACCCTGAAGGGGCTGGTGCTCCTGCAGACTTGAGATCCTGTGGGGTAGGCCCTTTGGGGGTTCTCCCTCTCAAAGGTTCCCCCAGGAGAGCCCTCCTACAGAGGGGACACTCATTGCCACCACACCAGAAATATCTGGCTGATGGGTGACCGCCACAGACCAGCCATGATTCTCAGCCTCTTTAGATTTGTTAAGTGTATCTTACGGGGAGGGAAGTGAGCCGATTCTCAGGCCAATAAAGAAAAGGAAACCTTTCTGACTTCATAAAATGATGCCCTTTGAGCCTTTTTATGGCAGGAAGGTAGTAGTTCTTTCTCTCAGCATCTTATCTTCAGATCATCAGCTAACAGAAAAGGAGATAGTCTTCTAATGAAGGAAGCACACGGTCTCCTCTTCCCCACTTGTAGAGAGGTGTAGGTTCTTCCAACTCAGCACTGTCCAATAGAACTTTTCGCAACGGTGGAAGTGTTTTTTATCAGCTTGCGCAAGACGGTAGCCACGAGCCACCGGTGACACTGAGCACTTGAGATGTGGCTAGCGTGACTGAGGAAGTGGATTTTTAACCAGTTAACAGCCACGCATCCAAAACGGAAACCATCTTTGCATCTATAGATGCTTATGGTGTACAAAGGGTTAATTTTTGAAATTCTAATTCATTGAAATAGCCACAGATGGTTCGTGGCTGCTATACTGGGCAGCACATTATTTAATGCTCTTTACTGCCTCTCTCTCTGTTCTGCCTCCCCTGTTGGCAGGGCAGTTGGAACAGGAACAGTGAGCAGGGTTGGGTGAGGGGAACCCATTTTGTTTTTACCTTTTCTAAAGCTCCCCCAGCTCTGATGATTGGCCTCATCTCTTTGATCTCTTTGCACAGTTCTTAACTTCCTCTCTCTCTCTTTTTTTTTTTTTCAAATAAAGGCTATTTGTATTAAAGATCATTTAAACTAGAGTACCAGGAAGAAGGTGCTGGGAGTGTGTTTAACCATATCATAAATTTTGTCTATGATTGACTGTCCAACAAAAGAACAGAACTTTCTGACTAGCTGCCTAGAAACCCTATTTACATATTAAAATACTTGACCTCTGCCCAAGGGAGTTGGCACTTGTGAGTAGGTGAACCTCTTAGTGAGAGGGCCCTGTCTCTCAGGAGCCTTCGCTACTGAGTGTGTTTTGGTACAGACTCAGCTGAAGTGACTTGCAGGTGATCAGATGGAGGGACAGGATCCATGCAGGAAGTCCAGTTAGAGCTGACGACCTTCTAGATAAGTGTGGCCTTGTCTTCATGGATCCCTCCCACTAAGATATCCCAGATATCTGGGGAGCCAATGGGCCTCTCCACCTAGCCCAGCGGTTCTCAACCTGTGGGTCGCAACCCCTTTGGCGGTCGAATGACCCTTTCACAGGGGTCGCCTAAGACCATCCTGCATATCAGATATTTACATTATGATTCATATCAGTAGCAACATTACAGTTATGAAGTAGCAACAAAAATAATTTTATGGTTGAGTCACAAATGAGGAACTGTATTTAAAGGGCCAGAAGGTTGAGAACCACTGACCTAGCCTGTCACCTGGATGCCTTTAGTTCCTTTACAAATGAAAATACTTTTTCTGGTTTAGTGCCTTTGTTCTCCAACCACTGCTTCAGGATCAGCTGGAGGGTAACAATACTGCTGCTTCCAGATCATACTTTGGGAGCAGCTTGTTCAGTGGAATCTTCCTCACTTCTGTCTGGGGAGGAAAATGTTATTCTCCTTCAATCCCTTAGCTTTTAGATTTTGTCATCTTTGTCCACCTGGCCCTTGGAATCTGCTCAGTCTCTTTGGCCTCTGCTTACTTTTTGTACCAGAATACCCTGGCCTCAGCCTCTACGCATCTGGAGGGGTCATCAGCGAGGGTGCTGAGTAGGCAAGGAGGAAGCCATGGGACTGTGAGCTTTGGGACTGATCGAAACCTGGGCAATTGTCAATACAGGTGTTTCTTAAGTTTAATACTTTTCCCACGTGCTGCCAGTCCTGCTTAGCATAGTCATGGTTGTGAGGCTGTCCATCCACCAATAAAAAATCCTATTTAGCCCTGACCAGTTTGGCTCAGTGGATAGAGTGTCGGCCTGCAGACTGAAGGGTCTCAGGTTCGATTCCAGTTAAGGGCATGTACCTTGGTTGCGGGCACATCCCCAGTGGGGGGTGTGCAGGAGGCAGCTGATCGATGTTTCTCTCTCATCGACATTTCTAACTCTATCCCTCTCCCTTCCTCTCTGTAAAAAAATCAATAAAATATATTAAAAAAAATAAAAATAAATAAAAAATCCTATTTATTCTTCAGTGCTTTTCACTGGCTCATTGAGTGTTCCATTTTTTTCTTTTTTCTTTTAGAGAGGAAGGGAGAGGGAGAGAGAGATAGAAACATCAATGATGAGAGAGAATCATTAATTGGCTGTCTCCTGCATGCCCCCGACTGGGAATGGAGCCCACAACCTGGCCATGTGCCCTTGACCGAAATCAAACCTGTCACCCTTCAGTCCACAGGCTGACACTCAATCCACTGAGCCAAACTGGCTAGGGTGGGTGTTCCATTTGTTTTAGAAAGCAAAGATAACTTGTTTGAATTGCCCCCAAGAAATTAGTTTTCTAGAATGGAGACAAAATATAAAAGTTACTTGTTATTTATTTACTTTTTATTGATTTCAGACAGGAAGGGAGAGATAGAAAACATCAATGATGAGAGAGAATCACTGATTAGCTGCCTTCTGCACACACCCTACTGGGGGATCCAGCCCACAATCTGGGAGTACGCCCTTGACCGGAATCGAACCCAGGACCCTTCAGTCTGCAGGCCGACGCTCTATCCAGTGAGCCAAACCGGCTAGGGCAAAAGTTACTTATTTTTGTTAAGTCTCTTCATAGAATGCCAACAGAGAATGTCCCACCCACTCTCCCAATCAGAGGAGACAGGGATATTAAAATACTTGTTGGCACTGAGATGGGCTGCCCTTTCTGGTAAGGCATTCAGCTGTGCATCAATGTCAAGGGGGGTTCTGACAAGGTCACCGAAGGATGTTCTGTTTCTAGGGCATGCAATGACTTTCTGATTAGCTCTGGCTGTGCTTTCCCCTCCCTCATGGGATTATTTTGATAGTGGTATGGATAAGTGGAAGACAGTACTTAATAAGCACTAACTAGTGTTAAGCCCTTATGTGTATTGCCTCATTTAATCCTTTTGGTTGGCATCCCCGTGCTATAGACTGAGAAAATGAAGACTTCACAGGGGATGCATACCTTGCATGCATTCAGCTAGTTCCTTTCAGAGCCCCAAGTGTGTGCTCCTAATCGCTGTGCCATTTTGCCTCCCTGCTCATCTTCCTGTGTCGTGTTCCCTTAGCTGTTCGACCACATTGCCGAATGCCTGGCCAATTTCATGGATAAGCTACAGATCAAAGACAAGAAGCTCCCCTTGGGCTTTACGTTCTCATTCCCTTGCATCCAAACGAAACTAGATGAGGTGAGTAAAATGAGTTCTTCAGACACTTCTGTTGTTTCATTCTTTGGGCTGGGAGGATGAGGAACTCTGAGCCATGTACCGCTATGGTGTTGGAGGTGGCTCTGAGAGTTGTGTGGACGAGGTTTGAACATTGAGAGTTCTGAGCTTCTGAGTGAGCGTGTGTAGGTGTGTGTGTGTGGGGGGGGATAGTGAAGAAGGGGGATCTTTACACTCAAAGCACAGTGCACAACCCCACATACATTGCACATTATCCTTATCTCTTTTAGGGACACAGGAGTGAGAAATTAGTCAGGAACTCCTTTGATCTAAAGTGTTGTGATAAATACCTTTTGAAAGAAAGATGCATGGGGAGTTTGATCAGAGGTTACAAATACCTTATTTTGGCAGTTCTATAGCCTGCCTTTTTCACCTGTGGGAGCAGTTGATTATGAAGAAATAATTTTCTTTCTGGGTCTTTGATGGGACTTGGACTTCTTCCTATGATAGTTAGGAAGCAATCTACTAGTACACATTCAAGCATGGCAATAGTTTAGCCCCATGGCCGAGGGCTTTACTAATGATTATTTGAGGAGTGTAGTCTGAGTTTTCTGAGAAATTAATGTTCAATCCTTGGTTCTTTTCCAGAGTTTCCTGGTCTCATGGACCAAGGGGTTCAAGTCCAGTGGTGTGGAAGGCAAAGATGTGGTTACTCTGATCCGGAAGGCCATCCAGAGGAGAGGGGTGAGTAGAAGCAGCAGGGATGGGGAGGCAGGACTTAAGGTTCTTTTGGGGCCACTCTGAAGCCTTCCCCAGTCTGCCCTTAACACAGTACGAGGACCTTTGTGATTTTTAGGTGAGGTTTTCTTTCTTCTTCCCTGCTATGTTTACTCAATAAAACATATTTTTATTTTTTCCAGTTTTAATGAAATATAATTGACATACAGCTCTGTATCAGTTTAAGATGCACCACATAATGATTTCACACACATATATTGTAAAATAATTATCACCCCAAGAATCTTATAAATGATCAGATACCTTTGGGATTAAGATTATCATGATGGGCCAAAACCGGTTTGGCTCAGTGGATAGAGCGTCGCCTGCGGACTGAAAGGTCCCAGGTTCGATTCTGGTCGAGGGCATGTACCTGGGTTGCGGGCACATCCCCAGTGGGGGATGTGCAGGAGGTGGCTGATCGATGTTTCTCTCTCATCGATGTTTCTGACTCTCTATCTCTCTCCATTCCTCTCTGTGAAAAATCAATAAAATATATTAAAAAAAAAAAAAAGATTATCATGATGGGTAAATGTCTTAGCCATGGTACAAGAAGAACCCTTTAGTAAAATAATTATCACCCCAAGAATCTTATAAATGATCAGATACCTTTGGGGTTAAGATTATCATGATGGGTAAACGTCTTAGCCATGGTACAAGAAGAACCCTTTAGTATTTAACCCGAAGAAGACTTGACCATCATTTTCAAGTAAGAAAGTTGGGATGATGTTGGCATTAGGGTGGAATGGGGCAGAGAGAGGACAAGATAAAGGTCACAGAAAGATAAGACTTCCTGGAAAGGAAAGAGGGAGAGAGAGGTAAAGGAAAAGAAGAAAGAGGAGAAGATGACAATGATGACATGACGGGCTATTCTTAGTGCAGTGATGGCTTTGAACTAGACCACAGGGCTGATGTCGGGAAGTCCTCCAGGACAGGGAGTGAGGCAGCTGTTAGACTGGATCTGGACCCGATTTCCAGCTATAACTTTCTTTGGTTTTGAGTAGCGTTAATCAGGAGGCGGCCCTGTTACTCTTGAGCTGTGTGTCTTGCCACTCTTTCTCTCCATCTTTACACCTGTGACCTTTCTGTGATGGTAAAGGTCAGATCTCTCCTTTTTCCTCTGCAGGACTTTGATATTGATATTGTGGCTGTGGTGAATGACACAGTTGGGACCATGATGACCTGTGGTTATGATGACCAGAACTGCGAGATTGGTCTCATTGTGGGTACGTGAGCACTGGGTGTGAGGGCTGATATTGGCCAATGGAGTGGGGTGTGAGCTGGAAAGGGAAGAGGAGTCCATGACCTGGATGTCCCTTTGTACTTCATTTTGGAAGGTAATGAATGGTATGATCACTTTGGAGGGCTAAGCCAGTACTTGTGGAGTTGGGGGTTAATGGAGTGGACCATGTTGGAATGGCCCAGTAGCCTGCTCGGAGGAATCCCAGCTACCCTGGGCAGTATCAGGATGGTGGGGCAAGAGGGAGATGGGTGCTGGGCAGAGGACAGTGTGGGTATGCACTGAGCAATCCCTTGTTTTGGCCAGGCACGGGCAGCAATGCCTGCTACATGGAAGAGATGCGCCATATTGACATGGTAGAAGGCGATGAGGGGCGGATGTGCATCAACATGGAATGGGGGGCCTTTGGGGACGACGGCGTGCTCGATGACATCCGTACTGAGTTTGACCAGGAGATCGACATGGGCTCCCTGAACCCTGGGAAGCAACTGTGAGCAGAGGGCATGGGGAGTGGGCTCAGGAATTAGGTTGGGGGCTGGCCAGGCTGGGTGGTGGTCCTCATTTTTGCTTTACAGTCATATCCCCCAAAGGTTGCCAAGGTGCCCATTGGTCATGGGAATTTGTGTTCATTACACACATTGGGAATTTGTGCTCATTACACACATTGTGACTGTAAATTTCTGAGGGGGCTCTAAAAAAGACAGAGCAGGCAGACACACCAGGTAGTAATTTGCTTTATCCTTCAGAACAGTAGTTTCAGAAAGTCATATTCTGAGTCTAAGTGAGTGGCCCTGCTCTTTCTTTACACCTTCAATTTGCAAGTTGCCCTTAGAAACAGTTTGTGGGCCACATAGAAAAGTGTTCAGATGGCCAAGACTTGGATCCGTGAAGACTCCTTTTGTAGTTCCCACCCCTGTCACTGTCCAGGCTGTGGTAGGTGGCTCCTAATGACTGGCTAAGGCTCGGTCTTAGAGCTCCAGTAGAGTTGCCTCTGAGCTCAGCAGGACCCCATGGGAGTCAGGGGCCTCCCACCCCAGCAGTACCCAGACCCAAGGCCTCCTTGGCCACCTTCCCGGGACCTGTGGCCGAACCGGGGCCCTGGGGTGAACTAACTGGAGGAAGGGCTCCATCTGGACCCTGCATATTACACTCTCCATCCTGGCTAGACATGGTATTTAGTTACTTTTGACTCTTACAAAACATTATTTCACTCTCACAAGCATTTTCCAAATGTCCCTTAAAGATCTTGAAATAGGGATTGCTGCAAGCTTCGCAGGCAATTACAAAACCTCTTGAGCAGTTCAGGCTCTCTCTGGTCTGGTTGCTGGGACTGACAGGAAAGCTTGTCGTGCTGATCTCTGCTTGGAGAGGAACTTCCAAGCCTATAAACCAGCTCAACAGTGGGGGCCTTTTTCTTAACTGGGAGAGCCCTGGCTTCATCAAGGACGCAGGATTTATTTAAGTCACAAGCTTCCCCACATTTACTTGTAGCTTTCACAGGAACAACCTGGCTATGTCTGCCATGGCTGGTGAGGAATTTATGGACTGAAAAGTCACTCATTCATTGCCTGCCTCCATCGACAAGACAACCCACGCCATTCCCAGGAGCTATGTGCCCTTTGAAGTGTTAGAAGACAGAATTGCCAGCCCGGCCTTGGCAACCCACCCCTGGCTTAGCCTTAGACAAATCAAATCAAAGTCGGAGGACATATCCCAGTGTCAGCCGTGGTAGTGCCGAAGTTATTTTGGGGCTTGAGGAGGAACTTTGACTCTTTATATGTCTCTAAATAAATATTTTTTTTCAAACATTGACGGAAACAAAGTGTTTTTAAAAACTGGAATTAAAAACTTTAAAAATCTGCCCACACTTCAGAAGCCCACTGGACACCCCTCCTACCTTGCACAGGACCACCTATTTAGAGAAGTCGACACACGAGTGCCTTGCTCTTGAAGCCGCTCTGCCTCTCAGGCAGTTGGCTGTGCTGGTGCTGACACATTTCAAATGCACTCTCTGTCTGAAAAGTTTAGCCAGCTGGTCAATTCTACCACACTTGACCTTGGGTCTTGAGCAAGTCTCTTCCCGAGGGCCTGACTTCCTGGGACTCAGCACCAGGAGACATCCGAGTCCCTTCCCCAGCCCTGCTGTGGGCCTCCTTGTTGGAGCCTGGCCCAGTTGGTGCCTGCAGGTCCTGAGGGCCTCCTCTCCCTAGCACCCAGATCCTTTCTAAGATATCTAGAAAGGGCCTTCTTTGCCAAGAAGAATTGTAAAGGCTTCGTCCTCTGTCTGAAAAGTTTAGCCAGCTCTTCACTTAGCTCCAATTCTACCACACTTGACCTTGGGTCTTGAGCAAGTCTCTTCCCGAGGGCTGACTTCCTGGACTCAGCACCAGGAGACATCCGAGTCCCCTCCCCAGCCCTGCTGTGGGCCTCCTTGTTGGAGCCTGGCCCAGTTAGTGCCTGCAGGCCCTGGGGGCCTCCTCTCCTTAGCACCCAGATCCTTTCTGAGATATCTAGAAAGGCCCTTCTTTGCCAAGAAGAATTGTAAAGGCTTCGTTTCCCATCACAGTCTGAGACAGAAAGACTGTCTTCTAAAGAAATCAGTGCCATCTAGTGTTGAAGAAATAAATTCCCCGACTGCCTTCTCAGCTTGGGTCCCTGCCCTGGTGGTTCTTAAACATGCCTTTATCTTATCTAACCTGCCTGCTCAGGAACTTGCAGCATCTCTCACTCCCATATTCCTGAGAAACTTTAAGGCAGTGGTTCTCAACCTTCTGGCCCTTTAAATACAGTTCCTCATGTTGTGACCCAACTATAAAATCATTTTCGTTGCTACTTCATAACTGTAATGTTGCTACTGTTATGCATCGTCATGTAAATATCTGATCTGCAGGATGGTTTTAGGCGACCCCTGTGAAAGGGTCATTCCACTACCAAAGGGGTCACAACCCACAGGTTGAGAACCGCTGTTCTAGATAAAACTCTGTGGCTGTGATTCACTTGCCATGTTGTAAAATAAAGCCACCTGGGATGAAAGAAGGAGAGAAGAACAATGTAAAGTCTACAACCTCTCCCCCCAGTTTAATCATATTGACCTTTCTCTCTTGTAAATAAATATTGGGGTTCATTTTACATTAGGTTTCACTTTCAAAAATCACTTCCTTGCTAGAGGAAAAAAAAATTTAAAACTCACTACCTTACATGTAACTTACTATACTGAAGTTTCAGACTATTACAGTATGTCCCACACCCCTTTTTAAATTCACTACCTTACGTGTAACTTACTATTAGTCTGTAAGTTTCAGACTATTACAGTATGTCCCACACCCCTCGGATGTTTTGTTTGCCTGCTATTGGCCCATCCTTTCCACAGTTCAAGGCCCACCTGCCTGCAGAGACAGCCCCGGCTCCCCGGCTCCTCCAACCCTGCCTGGGCTGTCCCTTCATACAGCTCATTCCCAGGCGGTGCCACACAAGTTACCCTTCCGTGTGCATCAGCCTCTAACATTGTTGGAGTTCCACGTGTGTGCATGTTGCCTCTTCGGGGAAGTTGCGAGCTCACAGACAGCAGGGATTTCATGGGTTTTCTGATGTGTATCTCCCTGCAGATTTGAGAAGATGATCAGTGGGATGTACATGGGGGAACTGGTGAGGCTTATCCTGGTGAAGATGGCCAAGGAGGAGCTGCTTTTCAGGGGGAAGCTCAGCCCTGAACTCCTCGCCAAAGGCCGCTTTGAGACCAAAGATGTTTCAGATATTGAAGGGTAAGCTTTCGGGTCCCTCTCTGTTTACTGAAGAGTGATCAGGTCATTGGGGGTGAAGAAGGGGCACTGGCCCTTGACCCCTCAAATGTGGACAGCAAGAGGGTCTCGCCCAACATGGGCCATGGGGGGGAGGGGCAGTGGTTTGAGGTCACTTAACACACAGTCTCCACTCTTGTCCATTGAGCGTGGTGATTTCCAAAGTGCCTCCCGGTGCTCACTGGCCTCCATGCTCAGAGATGTCACACTTGCATTCGTGCTTGGTGTGGGGTGGGGGTCAGGGTCTTGGCTTAATGCTAGAGGCTCCCCATTGGCCCCTTAATGACTCATTTCCATCCATTTCCTTTCCCTTCTGAAGCTCTGACGTTTCATTCTCTATTGGTGATTCTCAAAAAAGACTCCATTTTGACCTCTGCTTCATAACAGAAGACTCGGTCCTTGGATGGCCCAGAGAGATACCCATTTAGTTCCCATAGCTAGAGCGGAGGCTGCATTTTCATGGAGCAGCAGGGGTGGGAGTGAGGGTGGCCTCATTTTTGTCTTCCATTTAACAATATCCAGACTTGGGCCTTGTTTCCTGTTCTTGAGATTTCCACTTGTGGCTTGAGGAGGCCCTGTCTCAGGGACCAGCTGGTGGAGAGGAGGTGATTTGGGTGTAAAGGGAGCAGTGAAACAGTTCAAATGACTGGGAATGGAAACTCTTGAAGGAACTGTTCCTACTTGTTAAACCCCGAGGGGAGGACAGTCCTCAAATTTGCGAGGCACTTAGTTCCCCAAAGAAGGGTGCTACTCGCGCAGCACCAGCCCTTCATGACCGTATTTAGAGTGAAGTGGGCGTCTGCCATCACTGGGAGATGACATTTGCTGAAGCTGCGGGGTTTCCTGCCCGCCCCCTCCCCTACCCTCATCCCTCACCCACTGGCCACAGTGGATTGGATATGTGCCCACACACTCCCTTTCTGTTTCCCAGGGAGAAGGACGGTATCCGGAAGGCTCACGAGGTCCTGGTGCGGCTGGGCATAGAGCCGACACAGGAGGACTGCGTGGCCACTCACCGCATCTGCCAGATCGTGTCCACGCGCTCAGCCAGCCTGTGCGCGGCCACCCTGGCGGCTGTGCTGCGGCGCATCAAGGAGAACAAGAGCGAGGAGCGCCTGCGTTCCACCATTGGGGTCGACGGCTCCGTCTACAAGAAACACCCCCAGTGAGTCAGCGTTCGGGACCCACAATGATGGGGCTCCCGGAGCACTTGCGGACCCCTGACAGCCTCGAGAGAGACCCCAGTGACTCTAGGCACCAACTCTGTTTTACATTCTGGGTGGTGGAGGTGGACTGTGGTGTTGAGGTCTTTGTAGAATAAAGTTCCCAGCGAGGCAAGTGGGAGCTGGGAGGGTGTCCTTGGCGAGGGTGGAGGTGATTTCTGAAGGCTGCGGGCCACTGGAGTTGGGGGGTGGGTCTATTCAGAGCTCTCCTGGCCACTACTCAGAGGGCTCTTGTTGCCACCCTCTTGTTTAGGAGTTAGTGTTTCTCTTTACTTCTTTGACTCTTTCATGATTCTTGAGGGTCCCTTCAGATCCTGTGTCCTCCGCCAGGGGCCACCCCAGCCCAGTGGATTATCAGCCTCTGGCTGATCTGGGTATTGAATTGATCCTTCCCTGTCCTTCATGATTTTTTTTTTTTTTGGTGACACCCGGATAATCTGAGCTTTGTTAAGGATTTAAACATCCAAACATTTTACAGAGGACGCAAGGTTTCATGTTTTGATTCCTTGGGTCATAAGTGAAAAAATATGCAAGTTTCAGTTGGAACCTAGAGGATCTATCTCTGCTGTGCCCACTTACCCATCGTGTTCACCTGTTATGAGTGCCAGGTCTATGGGCCTTCATTGACCGAACTGTTTGATGCAGAAAGTCTCAGCCCTACCATTCAGTCCCTGGCCTCCTAGACGAGTGCTTCCAGCACCTTAAAGTGCACACAGATCACCTGGGGATCTTGCTAAGAGGCCGATTCTGATTCAGAAGTTCTGGGTTCAGGATGCTGCGGGCCCACAAACCACACCTGCAGTGGTGAGGTCCTGGAGATCATGACTCAGAGCAGCCACCACCCACGAATTTCTTGCTGAGCATACCTACCTATTCAGACATCAGTCCAGAGTAGCATTTCAACTTTCTTGGCATTTGTGCTGAGGTGGTGAGCTAATGCTCCAACCATTAGCACCATTGATCCTAGCTGTGGACACCCATTTCTTACCCCATCTCGGTGCCTGCAGTTTCGCTAAGCGTCTTCACAAGACGGTGCGGCGCCTGGTGCCTGACTGCGACGTCCGCTTCCTCCGCTCCGAGGATGGCAGTGGCAAGGGGGCAGCCATGGTGACAGCAGTGGCCTACCGGCTGGCCGACCAACACCGGGCCCGGCAGAAGACCTTGGAGTCTCTGAAGCTGAGCCGGGAGCAGCTGCTGGAAGTCAAGAAGAGGATGAAGCTAGAAATGGAGCGAGGTCTGAGCAAGGAGACTCATGCCGTTGCCCCGGTCAAGATGCTGCCCACCTATGTGTGCGCCACCCCTGATGGCACAGGTACATGGCAGGGCTGCCACTCAGCTCACCACGGTGGGCCTTTTTCTTGGTGTTGACACTCTGGGAGAACTCCTTAGCCTTAGGATTGGATGTTTGGACCAGAACATGTTTCTCCAACACATGCTCCTCAACTTACGATAGCATTATATCCCAATGAACTCATCATAAGCCGAAAATGCATTTAATACACCCAACTTACCTAACATCACAGCCTAGCCTAGCCTAGCTTAAATGTGCTCAGAACACTTACGTACATTAGCCTACACTTGGGCAAAATCATCTGACACATGAATACACTGTGGAGTGCTGGTTGCTTACCCTGGGGATCGCATGGCTCACTAGGAGCTGTGGCTAGCTGCCACTGCCCATCACAAGAGAATTATACCACATCACCAGCCCCAGGAAGAATCAAAATTTGAAGTATGGGTTCTACTCAATGTGACTTGCTTTCACACCATTGTAAAGTAAAAAATCATTAAACCAAACCATTGTAATTTGGGGACCATCTGTACTAGGAAATTCTAATGTTCAATAAGCTCAAGGCTAAAATTTGAACTGTGGTGACTTAGTAAGTGCTTACTGAATGCTTACTATGTGTCAAGCACTTCTCTGAGCACTTAACACATGTCAATTCATTTCATCTTTACCTGTAACAGAGATTAGTAGTTAGTTTTGTTTGTTAACAAACTGTTATGGTTGGCACAGAACTAAGGCACACAGAAATAAAGAAACCTGCCCAGTTCACACAGCTGGAAAATGGCAAAGCTGGGATTCAAACCCAGGGATTTTGGTTCAGGGCCAGCTCTGTAAGCCCTAGGTCAAGGGTTGGCACACTAAGGCCCACAGACTAAATCTGGCCCACCATCTATTTTTGTAAATAAAGTTTTATGACTGCACAGCCTTGCCCATTTGTCCACATATTGTTTATGGCTGTTTTGCATTATCATGGCAAAGCCGTGTGGTTGCAGCAGAGACTGGCCTACAAGGCCTAAAATGTTTACTGCCCAGCCCTTTACAGAAAAATATTGCTGACCCCTGGTCTACGTCTCACGACCCAAATGATGGCAGTTTTCCCCCCGATTCATTGGAAACAATCACTGAGCAGCCAGTGTAGCACACTTGGTGCACGTTCCAGAGGCAGAGACTGGAACTTGGCCCCTGCTCCACCCTCTGCTGGCTGTGTGGCCTCCAGCAAGTGACTCCCCCTAGGTCAGCCAGGTGGTGGGCCCTCATCAGAGGGAAACACAGTGCCTCGCTCTCTGGGCTGCCTGAGGGTTGCGTGAGCTCTGTGTGAGGGAGGAGCACATGGTGATTGCTCAACGAAGGAGGGTGTTTGTCTCTGCCCTTCCTTCTCTAGTCTAGTCTATTCTAAATAAGGTGGCCTTTGACTTAGCATGAATGGCATGTTAGATATTGTTGAGTGCACGGTCGCCCTTGCGCCTGTTGTGATTGCAGAGGTCATTGTGACTTCTGGGCCCCAGCACTTGAACTCATTTGAGAACCACTAAGGAGCCAGCAGGTCTCTGGTCCTGGGGTCTTATATTCTTTACTGTTGGGTGGAGCTCACAGTCCATCACCCCTGAGGTTGTTGAGGGCTTCCCCCTCCAGGAGACCTCCCCATTAGTGGAGGGTGCTTTAAATCCTGTCACTCTGTGCTGTGGTCTCGTGGTGATGCCCCACTCATCATCTTCCTGGGTTTATTTTCAGAGAAAGGTGATTTCCTGGCCTTGGACCTTGGGGGTACCAATTTCCGGGTCCTGCTGGTGCGTGTGCGGAACGGGAAGCGGCGCGGAGTGGAGATGCACAACAAGATCTACGCCATCCCGCAGGAGGTCATGCACGGCACGGGGGACGAGGTGAGGCAGGGCAACACCTCTGGGAGGGGTCCCCAGTAGACACCCACTTCTTCCCGGGGAGGCCAGTGCCTCCTCTGCCCACCGTGGTCTGGGGGAGGGCTAAGTGGACCAGGACCCAGGGCTGGCCTTACTCAGGATTACACCTGGCCTTGCATTTCTCCTGGGTGGAGGCCTCACTCATGCTCAAGCCTTGCTGGGGGGGAGCCTGCCCTGGCCAAGGGCCCCCTCCCTGAGAGCACAGCTTCTCCCTGCAGCTCTTTGACCATATCGTCCAGTGCATCGCCGACTTCCTTGAGTACATGGGCATGAAGGGCGTGTCCCTGCCCTTGGGCTTCACCTTCTCTTTCCCCTGCCAGCAGAACAGCCTGGATGAGGTAAGAGGCTCTTCCTGGAGGGCTCTGCTGTGAGTTTTATTGACTGTATCAGCCAGAAAATTGAGCTTAGAGGAGGAAAAGAAGGGCGTGTGTGAGCTGTTGGGAAGAGGGGCCTTTTGGTGGGAATGAGTGAGTCAGAGCTGGCGGAAGTTAACTAGCTTATCTCGGCTGTAACAAGCAATCTTTGGGATCACAATGAGGATACTAATAAAAATATTAACATCTCTCAAGCAGTTTACGTCAGGTACTGGGCCAGGCTTTCTACACACATTATTTCATTTAACCCTCATGGCAACCTCTAAGGTAGGTGTTTGTACACCCATTTTGCAGAAAGGAAAATAAGGTCCATAGCGATGCCAAATATTCAAGCCCGCCATTTCTTAGGTTGCAAAACCTAGACCAGGTCAGATAGCTTCGGAACGACCAAGCCACGATTTGAATTCTGGTTTCCTGACACCTCAGCCCATGCTTTCAATGAAGCTCAGCTGCTCCCAAGGCTCTTGATTTGGGCTCAGGACATTTTCATTCACCTCCGGTCATTTGGATGCCCTCGCCCTTCTCCAGTCTCACCTTTGCTTTCATCCCCTTGGATGAATGAAGCAAGTGGAGAATCCTGGTGCTCCCGAGTATTCTGGACATGGGTGTGTTGAGAGGTGTCAAGAGACTGAGTAGGTGATGCTCAGGCTTGATCTGGGTCCATACTTGGTCTATTAGGTGTCAAAATACTGTCGTTTAAGCAGTTGTTCCTCTGTGTTTCTGTTGGGAAGCTTGCGTGCCTGGTACAGGTGGGTAGCATGCTGTGGGTGGAGGTGCCAGGGGACCACGGGCATAGACCTTGCTCTGGGTGCTTACAAAGAGACTGGACTGATGAAGCAAGCTTAGGAAAGCCAGAGCTGCCCTTTGGAATGTGGCACCAATGGGTGCAAAAGTCCCGAGGAGGTGTGGTGTGATGTATTCTGAGCGCATGCATGGAGGGCCTGAGGAATCCTTGGACCGTCTCAGTCAGGGGAAGGGGTTGATAGGGCTGAAAGGCAAGCAGCCTGCAGTGTGGAGGAGGGCATGTAGGCGGAACAGTCACAGGTTCCGTGAGCTTGGCCCCGTGGTGAGAAGGGCCGAGTTTTTTACAGGGTCCCTGGAGCAGCAACCCTTAGGTTGCTCAGCTGAGTTTTGTAACTGCCTCCTACTCCTCCCCTCTGAGAGCCAAATTCACCGTGTGCGCTAAGACAGCTAAGGTTTGGGGATGATCTGCCCTAAAAACCCTGCCTAACTCAGTATTTCCGAATATCTGTTAACATCTGTCCAGTGTTGACGACTCCAGTGTTGCTTTTAGCTCTTCCAGTTTCTTTGCCTCGGCACATTTTTGTCAGTGTCATTGGGTTTTCAGAGCCTTCACATTTGCATTAATTTGGCAAAGGGAATTATCAAACATGTGGATAAATATTTATGTGATATTGGATGAAACATAGAAACAAGCCTAATCGTTCAATGGTCAGGAAATATTTAATAAATTATGAGCCATTTACTGCCTCATATCAGTGACTAGTTAAGAGAAGTCTTATCTCTGCACTATACAAACATACAAAAAATACAATTAATAGGAAGATAAAACCATAACACTCCAGTGTATATACTTCCAGGCTTTTCCTTCTAAAGTATTTTAAAACAGACACTGTCTTGCTTTACATGCCAACATGTTATGTGTATTTTTATATTTATCTGGTGTTAACTGTTTTTGCCCGAATTCCTAGATTCCAGGCCTAAGTTTCTACAAGGACCATGTGTTCAGTCTAGAATTGTAAAACTTTAGAGCAAATAAAGCAGAGGCTGGGTTCTGCTCTGGTGAGATCATCCGGTGGATGGGAAACCAGCAGGTGCTGAGGCCTGGAGGCCTCACGCTGCCTTGACTGGCCGGTGGCCTTGGGCAAGTCTCCCTAGCTGTTGGGGCCTCTGCTTGTCTTAGTTCCACCGGAATAATGTTATTTGAACATTTCGTAATCTGAAAGTGGCCATAATACGGAATTTAATAGAGATGTGAAGTTAATTTGTAGACAAGAAAGCTGGGTGGAGATTAGCACACAGGTGTTTGGATGTAGGTGTGGAAACCAGTACCTGGCGGACTGCACTGCTTTTCCAAATCTCCCAGATCAGAACACAGTGACACATTCACGTTGCCTAGTGATACCAAACTCCTGGGCCATGAAATGCCAGGCTGGTGGGCATGAACAACCAAACAAGGCCTGGGAGAACACAAAGCCTGTTCATAGATTCTGGTGTCTTGGGAAGTGGGCCTGGATGTCTTTCACTTTTGTTTCTTTTTTTAAAAAATTTAATATATTTTTATTGATTTCAGAGAGGAAGAGAGAGGGAGAGAGAAACTTCAATGTTGGGAGAGAATCACTGATTGACTGCCTTCTGTACACCCCACTTTGGGGATCTAGGCCACAACCCGGGCATGTGCCCTGACCAGGAATCGAACCATGGCTTCCTGGTTCATAGGTCAACGCTCAACCACTGAGCCACGCCAGTCGGGCCTTCCACATTTGTTTCTTGATGGGCTACAGCAGCAAAGAGGGAACCAGGGAACAAAACCCTTTCTGTTTTGAACATTTCTCTCATGGTCAAAGCCACCATGTTACCTGTTCCTGGAGGGTCCCTGGCATGGCACAGGGCCACAATACGGATGAGAGAGCTGAGGGGGAACTCCAAGGAGCTCAGAGTGCTTTCCTCATGGGGAGGGTGGTGAAGCCTAGATGTCACCCTAACTATGGGCAGGGCATTTGTTCACTGTATACTCAGTTCGATATAAATGTAGGTGGGGCCGGGGTAAACTGCCTTTCCTAGCAAAGGAAATAAGCTTATAGAACTTAGTTCCCTGGCAGGCACAGTTGTGTGATGCTTGTGGCCTGTCCATTGGAGTCGCTGGGCCTGGGAGTGAGTCCTGCTCCTCTTCTCCAAGCTGCAAGCCTTATACCAATTCTCCAGAGCTATGGTTACCTATAAAATGGGCACGATAATGACAGACATTGCACAAGGTTGCTGTGAGGATTAAATGCTGTGATGCATGAGATGTGCTTAGCCTGGTACATTGTGGGCACTCAGTAAATCCAAGTAAGGGAAACCATTGTGGGTGAGATGATTGGTTCCCAAAGGGCATCTGTATAACAGGTGTAAGGGAATGACCCAGAAATCCTTCTCTGATGCCCTAACTACTGCTCCCGTGTGATTTTTAGAGCATCCTCCTCAAGTGGACGAAAGGTTTCAAGGCATCTGGCTGCGAGGGTGAGGACGTGGTCACCCTGCTGAAGGAAGCCATCCACCGGCGAGAGGTGGGAGAGACACGGCGAGGCCTGTGTGTTCAGAACGTGGGGAAGTGTGGAGTGCGGTTGGATTGGTTAGCTGGAGAAGTAACATAATCCTTCAGCAGTCTGTGTGTGTCTGCTGTGCGTCAAGCCTGCTCTTGGCCCTGGGGACTCAGGAACGACCATAACAAACTCTTGTCCTGTAAACAAACCCAGGAGCTAACGTCATTGCTTTAGAGCTATGACGAGAAATGAAGTTGGGCGAGAACAGAGTGAGTGGGCTGGGGAAGGGGCACTCTTTTCAATAGTTATAACCAGGGAAGGTCTCTGAGGAGGTGACCTTTGAGCAGAGACCTGCGTGCAAAGAGAATGAGCCAATGCTGTATGCATCTTCTGTTCATGGAAATCTCCCTTGCAAGTGTTTGGAGGGGGAATATTGTGATTCAGTTGTGGACTAGGGATCTGCTTTTGCCTTCTTAGGAGTTTGACCTGGACGTGGTGGCCGTGGTGAATGACACAGTGGGGACTATGATGACCTGTGGCTATGAAGACCCTCAGTGTGAAGTTGGCCTCATTGTTGGTAAGGACCTAGGCTCTCCTTCCCACATGGGGTCACCCAGCCTCGGGTGGGTGGGAGACAGTGCTGAGTGAGGCCCTGACATCTCTGTGATTGGCAGGCACGGGCAGCAATGCCTGCTACATGGAGGAAATGCGGAACGTGGAGCTGGTGGATGGGGGAGATCACAACAGTATATTGTGAGGGGATTTCCTACAGGGAACTGGTCACAGAGTTTTTAGATGAAAAAACAAAAGGGGGCACAGAGTTAGTACATGTAAGAGGCAGCTCCTGCCCCTAGGACTGTGAGAACAGGTCAGGGAGAGAGTTAAGACCTAGGTCTGGGACGGTGGGAAAAACAAATGAGAATTGAACCAGTCATGACACAGAGTTAGTACATGTAAGAGGTGGCTCCCGCCCCTAGGACTGAGAACAGGTCAGGGAGAGAGAGAGTTAAGACCTCGGTCTGGGATGGTGGGAAAAACAAATGAGAATTGAACCAGTCATGCTACCAGGGTGAAGAAGGAAGCACTGCTGGGGTGAGGCAGATGGGAACAAGAAGCAGGA